AACACATGAATTTGCAATTTTGGCTAAAATTTCATTTTTGGTGAACCAAATACAACCATTACAATTTTTTTCAAAATACATATCTATGTTGTGAAAAAAAGGCCACACTATGTCCTTTAATTTGCAATCAGTTTTGTTGAAATATATGATATATTTCAGAAGTTATCACACATTTCGTGAAAATGTGTGTTTGTGTAAATTTTCATGTGTTGCTATGGCAACATGTTGGTTACCGTGTGCCATACCTATTTTGTGCGACCACAACCTTACTTTTCATGAAGGGTAGATATGTACCATGATATAAATTTAGGTTGTGGCTTGTTATACCTCCGGTTGGGGTTCATCTCTCTGACGAGTCAGAAACCACTAGTCTATTAGCCACAGTTAAAATGCAATTCTAATTCAACTTAGTATGTAACACGAGTTCTGATTGGTCAATGCTATAAATTTCCGACCGTATAATCAGCATATACGGTCGCAATTTGAGAACCGCTTCACCGAAACTTTTGAATGTATCCCTACACACGTTGTTGACAAACAAAGATGGCGACCTGTCAATCAAGCGAGAACGCTAGCTTAGATTACGGTGATTTTGTTATCGATTACGATGAAACATTTGAAAGTGGTTTGACCGATCTAAACATTCTACTTGCTGCTGAAGAAATCGACAACATTTTGGCTACATCGGCATATGAAAAGACAGGGGATGTCAACGCCGCGTCTAACGCGGAAGTGACAGCCGTCAATCATGGCGTCACCGATGTCGATAACAGTGTCCCGGCGAGGGATACCGCATCTGTGAAAACAGAGGACAAAGATCGTTTCCCTGAACTGGAGGAGTCAGATTTGGAAAATCTTTTGACCAACGCTAACAGTACCAACACGGATAGAATGACCAAGTGGGGTGTCAACACTTTTCGTCGTATGTAATTCTATGTCTGTGAATAATTCAAAGCTTAGAGGATTGACTTTTCACCAGAATAAAAAAATGATGATCACAACACGAAATAAAGAATTGATATCTTATCCTTTCAATAATAGCTGTACGTAATCGTCAAAATATCATGGATATGTCGAAGTAATAACAGGCGATTTATCTCAGAACAACTGTGAAACCATATCAAACGAAGTGTTTTAATTCAAATGATATAGGAAAGAAATATCGGTAATGGTGTAGGCAGTAAAATGTAATCACCAATGAAACAATTTGAAAATAAAAACTAAGACTATCATATTGTTTTGGTTACAGAATGGCTACAAAAACGGGGAGAGAGTTCGGTGTTTCAGTCCCTACCAACAGACAAATTAGATGTACAACTTCGACGGTTCTATGCTGAAATTAGAAATGCCAACGGAGATATGTACAGCAAAAGCACCTTCGTTGGTATCAGGGCATCATTAAACAGGCACTTGAGATCAGCACCCTACAGCCGAAATATTTCGCTCCTCGAGGACAAGGAATTCTTTAAATCTAACCACATGTTTAAATGCATGTTAAAAAAGCTCAAACGTGAGGGTCACGACAAAACCGAGCACCATCCGGCTATCTCTGAAGGAGATTTGAAAAAATTGAGATCAAATGACACTAATGTTTTTGATGTAAACAACCCGCGGTCACTACAAAACAAAGTATGGTTCGATATTACTTTGAGTTTCGCACGCCGAGGCCGAGAAAATCAGCGAAACTTAAAGCCTGATTCCTTTGTATTCAAAAAAGATGATTCCGGTGTGGAATATGTGGAAATGGCCTATAACGAGGCCACGAAAAACCACCAAGGTGATGATCTACGAGATCGCGACTTTGAAAGCAAACCCCGAATGTATGCTACGATGGATGAACAATGTCCTATCTCCTCCTTACGACTTTTTCTCGAAAAACGTAATCCGGACAACGATACATTCTTTCAGAAACCCAAGGCCTAAATATCTGTATCTGATTCATGTTGGAATACAAGCAGACCAGTCGGTGTCAAAACTCTGAATGATATGATGAAAACAATCTCAACTGAGGCCAACCTTAGTCGAAGTTATACAAATCACAGTGTCAGAGCTACTACAATTACCCTACTTTCTCACGCTGGTGTCGCAACCAGAGATATAATGAGAATTTCTGGCCACAAAAATGAGCAGAGCATCCGCAGCTATAACACTGATTCATCTGATTTTCAGAAACGTCAGTACTCTTCTATCATACACGGCAAGGGTGACAACAATGCTACTGTATCAACACACTTACACCAAGAACCACTATCTGTGAGCTCTACCACTCTACCTTTCTTGAAGCAACTTGAAGTGCACAACTCACAAGTTAATGTGTACAATTACTTTAGTACCCCCGATCCTAAGCATGTGGCCTAATTAACAAAAGATTTAACCGAACGCTTCGACCTAGACTTCATTGTAAACATGTAGATCTAACACTGTCCAAACACGTCAATCGGAGGTTTTATGTTGTTCGATGTTCATGTTACCGTTGGAAATAAGCAATGACCTTGCATTTATTACGTTATTTGATATGTTTGAAACAAAAATAAGTTTAACTTACTTTAATAATAACGCCAAGATGACACTCTAGTGAAATAACTGGATAATATTGTTGATTCTTCTTCTCCACTGCTTTTGTCTCGACGTTCGAATGGCCGATTACCACGTTGTGTGAAGGTCAAGGTTATCATGACGTCACAAATATTTGCTCTATCGCTACGAGTTTTAAAATTGTTATGTGCAGAAGAGTTACACTATAATGTATTCATCACTGTCAGATTGAGTCAGTGTGCACATAATAAACGTGTTTATCGTGATCATTTGACTTGTTATTCAATTTGTTGAAGTTTAAAAAGGGAACTACTTTTTCTGGCTATAGTGTAAGTTCAAGGAGTGATATGATTAACCTTTGACCTAGAGGAACTTGGACCTGGTTTAAATAATGAATTTCTTTCACGAAAAAACAGCATAAAACGAGTTGAATTAGAATGGGGATAACTGTACTGTGTTTGACGAATTGGGGACGTATACCGGTGGTTATATAGCCGCAAATTTAACGTTATATCGGCTCCGCTTACGCGTCGCCGATATAACTAAATTTGCGGCTATATAACCACCAGTATACGTCCCCAATTCGTCAAACACAGTACAGTTATCCCCTAAATGTGCAATGGAGATGACTTGGGACCGTCACAGCCCACGGTCAGCTGTGTCATCAATGATACATTGAATGCTTTGACATCGCCATCTATCGTGAAGCAGTTCATAAAATTCCCAGTTCATGTGCGTGAAATACAAAGAAAACAAGCAGCGTTCATGAACATAGCAGGTTTCCCAGGCGTCATTGGTGTCATTGACGGTACACAAGTACGTGTAATTGCACCGCGAGATCATGAGGCAGAATACGTGAACCGAAAACATTATCACAGCATCAACACACAGGTTGTATTCGATGCCGATTATTACATTTTGGATGTGATTGCGAAGTGGCCTGGTTCTACCCATGACGCTCGCATATTAAACGAGAGTGGTTTAAAAGTGCTGTTTGAGAGGAACTACATGCCCACAAGTTGCCATCTACTCGGAGACAGTGGCTACCCCTGCAAACGCTGGTTACTAACGCCATATTTGAGACCTCTACCCGGCCCCCAGACAGATTACAACAGGTATGATATGTTTCCTTGTTTTGTTTACCTCGTGACCTATAAACGATAGATACGTGTGCTCAAAAAAAACATTATTACGAATTTGCATTCATAAAAACTACATTTTACCTACCCACAGAGAGTTCTGACATAGCACACATGTTAAGCCTGTCATAAAAAGGGCACGGTCTGCAACATCCCCTTTAACTTTATTGGTTAGAGTAATTTCCCTTTCTTTGTGGGTTTCTACTAAAATCATGCAGGACAATCCCAGAAATAAGATCATTATTCCTTGGATATTAATCAAATTGTAACACAAGCTGTTATTACTTTACCCTGCATCATCACAAAAGTATACATGACTTCACTGCAATCCAGTTATCAATATGTATATTTTTAAATACATACCTTTACTCCCATCAAATTAAAACCAAATGATATTTTTGTAAATACACAACATCTCTGCCATCCAGTTATCAGAATTTTTTTTTTAAATACATCACTTCACTGACATCCAGTTAGCAAAAAAAGATATTTTCAAGCCAATCATCTGAAATAAATATATTTTAGAAAAAAAAATTCAATTGAGAAGACTTTATGCAAATAGTCCTTACCAATCTTATTTCAGTTTTTACATAGTTATTTTAATGGCAAATAAAATATGATTCTAAATACATTCTGTATGTATGATATTTGTGAAAAGAAACACTTAATAGATGCAATGATTCATGAAATTGATTATATTGTAGAAAAATGACACCCGCATTTAATGAATAAATAACTTACTAAATATACAAGATGCTTATAGCTCTTAGGTAAAAAAGACTTTCCACTTTATATCCATTGTTACATATGTCATGTATATTTGTTTGGGAAAATATTTTATGACAAGACACTGCACAATGTAAGTTCCAACTTCTCTTTGATAATGACATATGTTCAAATTTCATGTTTCTTTTAAGGGACAGAGATATACTGTCAATAGAAAATTAAAATTTTTGTTTTGATTTTATTTCAGAGCACACAAGCGCACAAGATCTGTTGTAGAAAGGGGGATTGGTCAGCTAAAGCGAAGGTTTCATGTTTTGCATAGTGAAGTGAGGGTATGCCCAGAGAAAGCATGTAGGATAATCATTGCTTGTGCCATACTGCACAACCTATGCAAGCAGAGGAATCTTTATATACCTCCTGATGAAGACACTGATGATGAGGGCGATGAGGATGGGGACAGTGATGATGGTGAAGATAGTGTTGATGGTAGCCTTCCTCCACAACAAACTTCCACCGTTGATGGACAGCGATACAGACAGCACTTCACAAATGTTCATTTTCAGAGTATGTAGCAACATTTATTTAGAAAATGCATGAAAATCAGTACAAACATAATTTTTAAGGAGTAACTTCAATATCTCTACTATAACCATGTTACCCCTGTAGTAATTCAAACAATTTTGATATTGGAAAGCATGTACAGACATAGTTCTTGCATTTACTTATCAGATTGATCTGTCTTCATCTTTTCCAATTTAAGCATTAATAATTCTTTCTGAAGCTGAAGCACATCAATCTGCAACAATGTTTTTTTCCTGGAAAGTTCTTTGTCACTGATGTGCCCGTTCATTGTGCAGGGTAGAACTTGAGTGGAGAATGCTGCAGTAGCTGCACAGCTGGGCTGGGGTGAGGCTAGCACATCCAGGGGGAAGCAGGCTTCAGCTTCAACGACAGCAGCTTCCTGACTTCTGAAAAGAAATATTTAACTGTATTGCATGAAAAATCTTTGAGAAGAGTTTTCTGTAAATTCAGAATGTCCTTGCATGATTTCAATGTAAACTCTAAGCGTAAATATAACAATTTGAATCCAAGTGAAATTTTATGTGTAAAATGTAATAGCAACCACATCGAAGATGAATATCATGTGTTATTTGTGTGCAAGAACTATGGAGACCTGCCAAATAAATATCTTCCAAACTTATGTACAGGGTATAAGGATCAACATTTTATGATAAATCTTTTAAATTCTAAGAATGAAGATGTTATTACCTCTGTAGCTCGTTTTCTGAAAAATGTGTTTATATAATATATATTTAATACATGATAAGTATGTACATTTTGAAAATGTGTAACTGTACTATGTGTCATTTGGCCTAAATTACTGAATAAACTGTCTGTCTGTGAAAAGAAATATTTTAAATGAATGTTTGAATGTAAAATTTAAAGTGAATATTAAAAAAGTATTGTAAACCAAAAGGAAAAATTGTTAACCTGTTTGATATGTCCATGACCTGTAAAAGGGTTGAATCGAAGCTCCCCTCAATTCCACTTATGATGACATTGGATTGGCCAAGAACATCATAAACTGCTTCAGAAACAGCACTCGGCTTGCTTGGACCAGGCCCTCCACCTGCAAACATTTCAAACTTTTGAATGCTTATGTACTTTTTGATGCATTTAATAACCGATATCAAATAAAAGAAATAAAAAAAATTATTAATTATTTTGCATAGATCAGTCTTTTTGTTAGGTGTAGAAAACATGTGAAATGTGATCATTCTTCTAAACACTGGTTCTATACTAGTGGCTCATGTCTATTGTATCATGGTTCATATTACTCAATTATGTAGCTATCGTGTTTGAATTTACAAGATAGTGTATAATAAAACAAACTCTGAAAATAATTACAATTAATATGTTTTATTAAAAAAAATTTACATTTATTTATGTTCTAGGAATATGCCCCTGTAGATTATGTTGTATAAATGAGAACACATCTCTCACGTAGAAATACAACATACATGTATGTACAAGTATCAAGCAATGTTTTTCAGTTCATACACTGGCCCATATATCAGTATAACTAACCTTATTTTAAAAACTTGTATTTAAACAAAATAGCTCTTTAATTCTCATATATATCTACAAGTGTGTGTTCACATGTACTATATATCTGTATCTAACTCTAACTTTGTGTATACTTGAAATAATTGAGGCTTGTATAGTGTGCATAACAATTTGAAATTGAATAATATTATCATTTTCCAAGATATCTGTGATCAAAAGACTTAGAAATGTAATTACTTACCAGTGCCACTGAGCTGTCTCTTGAAAGCAGATATTTCTTGCCTTGACTTGGACTGGATGTTGTACCATCTTTTCTCGCAGTCATCGTTTGACCTAACAACGTTAGGAAATGCAGCATTGATATTGGCTGCCACCTCCCCCCATGCCTCCTTCATTCTTGATGTTACTCCCGGTCCAAACTTGCCCTTGATGATTGACTTCCGCTCATCAACAAGTCGGACCAACAGCAATGACTGGTCGTGTATCTGACTTGATTACAAACCCCTGGGTGCCACAGGGACATATGTCCTTCCTCTTCAACCCTCACTTTGAAGTCCAATAAAATTCTAAATATATCACGCACACAAATATACTTCACAGTTTTGTATTCTGCGGGAAATTCCCTGTTTCTTGATACCATCCACTAAAATCCACTCAGACAAAGCTAAAGTGCTTAAATAACCTTTCATTATAGGCTTCATCGTAAATGTCGCCATTTTATACACAATACGAAATCACGATTCACAGCATTATTTGCTGTACAGTGTAGACAGTATGTTTTCAAATGTGAAAATCGGATAATTACTGGGAGTATTGAATTTCAAAAATAACATATTAATGATCACTGAAATCAGTTTTTCATGATATCACTAATGATAATCTGAAACGCTGCCGATGAACCTAGAATCGGTTTGGATGTTTCGAAAATATACGCCGAAGTGCGCTTTCCACCATATTGGATATTGTTTACAAAATCACGTCTCGCAAAGGCCGGTATTGAGACGCCTATTACATCACGTATATTTCATAGTCAACTGCGACAAATGCATAAATGAATTCCCCATACATTTAAAATCAAATCACAGTTGGTCTTTGTTACCAATACCAACTGGATATTGGGTGTGAAAACAAACGCTGTGCTCGGAAGACTGCGCTACTGTAGTTTGAAATGTAAACAAAGAAAAAATCCGATTTATACTGCGTAGCAGCCGGCTCTTCATTGCTTGCAATGGCTCAATACCTTTAGAATATGTATGGAAAGAGTATCATAGCAAGAAAGAGGAAATTACAAATAGATACAATGCAATGATTTCCGTGCAGCGTGACGCCATAACAGACGCAAAATCACGCAGAACGACAACGGTAATTATCAGCATTTCTGGCTTCTTCTCTTACTTACAAAGAAAACATATAACAATACACAGATAGTCAGAGTCACTCTGATTACTTACATTTCATATTTATGTACAAACGATCCCTGAAGCAAGGGAAGAGTCCTCGCAAAATCCTGTGTATCCTTGTCAGCGAAGCTGCCATTTTGTAAGAAATCGGTCATCGGTTGTGATGTCACACGTCAACATTGTTGTAGTACTACATATTAGGCAATATCTTTGAGGTGAAGGTCGGATGAAAAAAAAGTAAACACAATCGTCCTATCCTTCTGATTACACTTTCAGTAATATGATGTATATTTTGCGTATCATTCAGATATGTTTTTTCATGAAACCAATTTCAGTACCTACATTTAGGCTTGTTCAATATCATATCATACTTGGATATAGGGTATGCGTTTTTATTCTTTGAAAGTTTTTGATTGTTTGAATAAAAGTTACAAAAAAAGAAATTGACACATTTAGAGTATCACACCATATTTTAAACCTTTACACAAGAGTTAGTAGATCAAGCGTAGCCATGTTCTGCAACATTGACTTTAGGTCCTATAGTGTGCAATATTCAATACATTGGGACTAATATTGCAGTTTCATATGAACAAGTTAATGGACAGCGATTTAATTCAAACATTGTAAGTAAAACTGATTACATTAATGGAAATGATTTATACATTTTATTTTGTAATTTTCAATGGAATGTAGTGAGACAATCCAAAAAAATTCATTTATTGATATTATTTTACGATAAGATAACCTGTACATTGAATTAAAACATAACATTTGCATTGTTATTCAAACTGTATTTCTATTTTGAAATACTTTGGGAATAACAAGATAAGCAGGTGCCCGTTCGGTCTCGCTTTATGCGTTGCTATGCAACAAAGTACCTCTTATACAATGTACGACATGGATTTAGGACCGCGTCGTACGACATGGATATGACGTCTTTGTGAAACGGTCGTAAAGGAGGTCGGAAGAGGGTCGTAAACAAGGTCGTATGGGCTACGACCTCCTAAATTTAGGAGGCTTTTGTGAAACGCGGGCCAGGTCTCCAGCTGCCCGTGCCTGTTGTCAGATGCGACTAACAGGTGGTTAAACTCGGTGATTTGATTGATTGCTTCATCGTTATATCCAAATGTTCATGATGTTAATCACTGGACTGCCAGGCCCAGACTCGATTATTACAGACCACTGTCAGAACGCTAGAATATTGCTGACTTTGGCAAATAGACACACCAGGCATCCAATGAGTTGCAGTCATGTTTAATAAATCAGTTACGATGCATACCAAGCTTGCAATGCGTACCGAGACCACCTACATGTATTTTGCCTTGCATGAAATATTTCTTTACTCCCTACCAATTCAATGACTCAATCATTAAGTGATTCACTCTCTCACTCCCTTCGCTTCAATGAATGTCATCGAAAGACTTTTTGTTTAACAAGCAAGAGCCAAACCTCATGGTTTATTCAACTTTTCCAGTGTTGTACATATTTCATATCTACTTCACAGATATTTACACACAACCAGAGAGGTTATTCTTATAATTAGACTCAACGTGGTTTCTTGCGTAATCAACACATACAATTAATCCCCAGTCAATTCAATATTTACATGCAATCGTTTGCATCATGATGATTTCCCAGGAATATTTTTCAGAGACCATTTCCGAAACTCATTCATTTGTTCACTGGGTGTAATTTTTAACAAATGACTTATATTATCGTTGATGTTAAAATTGCATATGAATGAACTGAGAACAAGAACAATTTGCTATTTTCTGCAGATTACTACATTTATCTACATGCCGGCGAGAGAAAAAATCAAAACGGCTTTGTTGAAAGTGGCAATTGTGTCCTACTGAGTCCGGTTTTTAACACAACTTCCGGTGGAGGCTGTTTCCGGTTCTGGTATCACATGGAAGGATCAGGCATCGGCAACCTCTCTGCAGCGGTTTTAGAAGGTTCATCATCTGATGCAATCTGGTCCAAGACAGGAGAACAAGGACCGGATTGGAAATGCGCTCATGTGTCTCTTGAGCAAGGAAGAGAAGGTCTCAAGGTTCGTGTTTATTGGTTATACAAAACCAAATATTCCCATAGGCGCCTGACTCTGATGTATTTATAAGTATGACCTATATATATAAGATATAAGAAAGGTGTGTCAGTAAATCTAAACAAAATGGCGGCCCGGCTCGGCTCGGCTGGGTTTCGGTCTGACAAACGCTTCCATCGCTTTGACCGTTGAATAAACTGCATAATTTATGCTCAGTTGACCTCTGTAAAGTACCTTGCGTATCACTAACCTGGTGATTTTATTCTCATTTAAAGCTTTCAATAATTTTGCCGTCCATTCTCGCACCAAGTCAGGACATATGCCCGGAAGTAAACAAATCTCAGGCTACAGACCCGAACCGAATAGTAGAGCGAGTCTCTGATTGTATAATACAGTTGCACGTTAAAAGAGGTGGGAATAATAGAAGACGCTATCCAATCAGAGACTCGCTCTGCTATTCGGTGCGGGTCTGTAGCCTGAGATTTGTTTACTTCCGGGCACATGTCCTGACTTCGTGCGAGAATGGACGGCAAAAGTATTGAAAACTTCTTACATATATAAGTCATACTTATAAATATATCAGAGTCAGGTGCCTATGAATATTTCCCATTGACTTCTATAGTAACGATCTATATTTTTGTGATTTTTAAGTAACTAAGCAGCCAACAACTATTACATGTACATGTGTGCATAGTCTGGCCTTAAAGCGGACCTTTAAAAAATGGCTACCTCAGTCAGCGCCTTTTCCAAGTATAGGGCCCTGTTGCACAAAGCTATCATAGCACTACGACTGTCGTAAGTGTATGATACAGTGTAGGAGATATACGACAGTCATAGTCCTACGATAGCTTTGTGAACGGGGCCCAGGAAGCTAAACAGACCAACCCCAGCTCCGAACAAAATATCACCCGCTTGAAAATACCTGTGGTCACATTCAGCATAAGTTGTCAGGTTAAAAGGACAGCACGAAATATTAAAAATAAAATATGGTCAGTTTTAATTACTGAATTGATGTACAAAACATATTTAAAAAATATGATCAGTTTTAATTAATGGATTGATGAACAAAAAATATTTTGAAAATATTATCAATTTTAATTACTGGATTGATGTACAAAAAATATTTTGAAAATATTATCAGTTTTAATTACTGGATTGATGTATAAAAACCGGAAATTCTTGTACAAAATCACCCAATCGCAGATGTCAGATGATTCAGCCTGCACAGAAAAGTGCACTACGATAAGTACTTGTTAAACTACGGAATCTAATTCGTGCAGTATAACCTAATATAAGAGTGGGATGTCCCAGTACGTGGGCTACATTTCTTTAAGGAACGGAGAGTTACGAAGATATAATTTTAAAAAAATATATTTTTTAATTAAATGTTTAATCATATTTTATGTGATTTGGTACATGATACATTTCCTACTTCCTAATGCAGAAGTTTCCGAATTATCGCGAAAATGTATTGAGCGACTCACGCTGTTGTTCATACCCGCTTGACGTGTTCAACGTGTACCATGTGCGCTGAAACAACTACTCCCATTTACTTCAGCAACTCGCCATTTCTTATAAATAACGGAGTGTTAAAACAATAGAATGGCGTCACAAATGTAATTTAAGCAGCGTTCAGAAGTAGTGCCGATGGACACTGTACCGACTAATGGATTTAGGGAGTTGAACTCCATGGGTTAGTGTCTCGTCGTTTCCTTGTTTAAAGGGCTGTTTCACTAATCTTAGCCCTATGGGGAATCTAGGCCGGGATGGCTGCTACGTGTATCGTGGTTTGCATGGGCGTTGTCCAGAAAAAAGGCGATCGGATGATCAAACTGAAACTTGGCTGTCACCGTAATTGCATGGTTTGGACCAGTGCTCGTGCTTTGGTGATTATCAGCTGATTATTTACAGACCTCTGTCATATATACTTTGTGCTGAGACATTAAATACCATTATCTTTTGAAATATCCGTGTTAATGTGAGTTCCTCATCAGTGTACGATACGTGTCTATGAAAGATCCGTGTCAGTGTACGATACGTGTCTATGTAAGATCCGTGTTAGTGTACGATCCCTGTCTCTGTAAGACACGTGTCAGTGTACGATCCGTGTATATATAAGATCCGTGTCAGTGTACGATCCGTGTCAGTGTGAAACACTGATCTATGTAAGATCTGTGTCAGTGTACGATACGTGTCTATCTAAGATCCGTGTCAGTGTACGATCCGTGTCTATATAGGATCCGTGTCAGTGTACGATCCGTGTCTAAATAAGATCCGTGTCAGTGTACGATCCGTGTCTATATAGGATCCGTGTCAGCGTACGATCCGTGTCTAAATAAGATCCGTGTCAGTGTACGATCCGTGTCAGTGTACGATATGTGTCTGTGAAAGATCCGTGAAAGTGTACGATACGTGTCTATGTAAGATCCGTTTTAGTGTACGATCCATGTCAGTGTACGATCCGTGTCAGTGTGAAATACTGGTCTATTTAGATCCGTGGCAGTGTACGATCCGTGTCAGTGTGAACTACTGGTCTATGTAAGATCCGTGTCAGTGTACGGTACGTGTCTATATAAGATCCGTGTCAGTGTACGATCCGTGTCTGTGTAAGATCAATGTCAGTGTAAGATCCATGTCAGTGTACGATCCGTGTCAGTGTACGATCCGTGTCTGTGTAAGATCAATGTCAGTGTACGATCCGTGTCTATATAAGATCCGTGTCAGTGTAAGATCCATGTCAGTGTACGATCCGTGTCAGTGTACGATCCGTGTCAGTGTCGATACTGGTCTATGGAAGATCCGTGTCAGTGTACGATACGTCTCTATCTAAGATTCGTGTCAGTGTACGATACGTCTCTATCTAAGATCCGTGTCAGTGTACGATCAGTGTCTATATAAGATCCGTGTCAGTGTACGATCCGTGTCAGTGTACAATACTGGTCTATGTAAGATCGGTGTGAGTGTACGATTCCCGTCAATGTAAGATCCGTGTTAGTGTACGATACGTGTCTCTGTAAGATCCGTGTCAGTGTACGATACGTGTGAATGTAAGATCCGTGTTAGAGTACGATACGTGTCTCTGTAAGATTCATGTCAGTGTACGATTCGTGTCTATATAAGATTCATGTCAGTGTACGATTCATGTCTATATAAGATCCATGTCAGTGTACGATACGTGTCAGTGTACGATCCGTGTCAGTGTACAATACTGGTCTATGTAAGATCGGTGTGAGTGTACGATACGTGTCTAGGTAAGATCCGTGTCAGTTCACGATACGTGTCAGTGTAAGATCCCTGTCAGTTTACGATACGTGTCTATATAAGATCCGTGTCAGTGTACGATACGTGTCAGTGTACGATCCGTGTCTATATAAGATCCGTGTCAGTGTACGATCCGTGTCTATTTAAGATCCGTGTCAGTGTACGATACGTCTCTATCTAAGATCCGTGTCAGTGTACGATCAGTGTCTATATAAGATCCGTGTCAGTGTACGATCTGTGTGAGTGTACGATACGTGTCTGTGTAAGATCCATGTGAGTGTACTATCCGTGTCTATATAAGATCCGTGTCAGTGTACGATACGTGACAGTGTACGATCCGTGTCAGTGTACAATACTGGTCTATGTAAGATCGGTGTCAGTGTACGATACCCGTCAATGTAAGATCCGTGTTAGTGTACGATACGTGTCTCTGTAAGATCCGTGTCAGTGTACGATACGTGTCAATGTAAGATCCGTGTCAGTGTACGATACGTGTCTCTGTAAGATTCATGTCAGTGTGCGATTCGTGTCTATATAAGATCCGTGTCAGTGTACGATACGTGTCAGTGTACGATTCGTGTCAGTGTACAATACTGGTCTATTTAAGACCGGTGTGAGTGTACGATACGTGTCTAGGTAAGATCCGTGTCAGTGTAAGATCCGTGTCAGTTTACGATAGTGTCAATGTAAGATCCGTGCTAGTGTACGATACGTGTCTCTGTAAGATCTTTGTCAGTGTACGATACGTGTCAATGTAAGATCCGTGTCAGTGTACGATACGTGTCTCTGTAAGATCAGTGTAAGTGTACGATACGTGTCAGTGTATGATACGTGTCTATGTAAATTCCGTGTCAGTGTACGGGCCGTATCAATAAGAGATCCATGTCAGTGAACGATACGTGTCAATGTGTGATACGTATCTATTTAAGATCCGTGTCAATGTGCGATACGAGGCAATGCACAAAACATGGCAATGTACAATCCGTGTCAATTTACGATAGTGTCTATGTAAGATCCATGTTAGTGTACGATGCGTGACAATGTAAGATGCGTGTCAGTGTACGATACGTGTCTATGTAAGACACGTGTCAGTGTACGATCCGTGTCAATATGGAATCCGTGTTAGTGTACGATCGGTGTCAATATGAAATCCGTGTCAGTGTACGATACGTGTCAATTTACAATACATGGCAACGTACAATCCGTGTCAGTGTACGATACGTGTCTATGTAAAATCCGTGCCAGTGTACGATACGTATCAAAGTACAATCCGTGTCAGTGTACGATACTTGTCAATTTAAAATCCGTGTTAGTGTACGATACGTGTCAATGTTAGATCCGTATCAGTGTACGATACGTGTCTATGTAAAATCCGTGTTAGTGTACAATACGTGTCTATGTAAGATCCGTATTAGTGTACGATACGTGTCAATGTACAATCCGTGTCAATGTGCGATACGTGTCTATGTAAGATCCGTGTCAGTGTACGATACGTGTCTATGCCAGATCCGTATCAGTGTACGATACGTGTCTGAGTAATTGAGATCCGTGTGATTATGATGCATTTTAATAGAAGATCCGTGTCTATGTACAATGCGTGTCGACGTGAGAAACGTATTTATGTAAGATCTGTGTAACTGTAATTTTGAACCAGTTATTTAAGGAGTAACGTAGCTATTCTGTGCTTTTGTACTGGACAGATCGAGATGACTGCGTGGACGGGTCTTAACCTTTTGGGGGACATCGCGCTGGATGACTTCAAATTCTTTGACAGTAAATGTAGCGGAATAACTGACGGTAAGTGCATCACGCTATCTGGCTGCTGGTGACTGTCGTTAGACAACCCCCATTGTGGCCAATAATACAGTAAGTGAGGGACAACCCTAATGGAAATTTTGGGGATTCTGTTCATGTTCCTGTCGGTTCGCCAGATGATCTCAGAGATGTTCAATGGGGTTCATGTCTGGAGTACGTTGACGTTAACATTGTGCAGGTATTCTCGAACAATTCTGGCGTTGTCGTGCTGCACAACTACTCCTCTTAGCTGTTGTCGAATACAGAGCACCACAAAAGGTCTCAGCATTTCATCTCTGTATCGCTGGCATTCAGATTTCCTCGGATGATAAGCAGTCTTGTTCTCTGGCCACAAATGCCGCCCCAAACCATGACACATCCTGATGAACTTCTTGAACGCAGTTTGGCACCTTCGCTCTCCTCCACGTGGAAACACTCGAACTCTGCTATCGTGTCTGAACAGACTTTCATCTGTAAAGAGCAGTTCGTGCCCATTGCAGTCTGCGTTGACGGTGTAGGCGGATCAAGGCCATTCCACGGAAGTTGCGGTAGGCTCGCCGCTGACGTCGCAGTCTCATAGATGGCTCTGCCAGATGTAGCGGTCTTTGGCCGGTGTCGTGATTCTTGGTCTTCCCGATCTTGGGCAGTCTTGGGTCTGGCCAATTTGCTGATGGTGGACAGGCTATAGTTGAAGGTTCTTGCCAGCTGACGTTGTGAAGCCCCCACATTGAACATGCCAATCGCCCTGTCTCGTTGCGCTTGCGTAAGTCTTGGCGTATTCGTGGTGTTGATTTTTGGTTACTGCATGTTTGCTCTGTCCAACATCGGTATTTATGCCACAATCATGCACATGCATGCCCCACAATGACGTTTTTCACGTTTTGAAAAATACACGATTTGTACGAAGTTTTCATACAGCTACGTTGTTATCCGGACAATGTTGCGTTTTGGCAAATATTGAGTGTTTTTATTCAAACCTGTACCAGCGTCTTTGTATTTTATGCAATTACTCTAAAAGTAATAACGTTTACTTGCCCGGTAGTTTAGTATTGTTGCGTGAATCAATGATCAATGATCAATTTAACATACATGAACTTACAATAGTTTTCATTTTTATTAAACTGAAAGTATGTGGCAACGCCACAACGCCACCGACAGCACCTCCACCAACGCAGTTACCAACGCCAGACAAGCTGTCGTCTACGTCTACTACAGCACCTGGTGTGTCCACAACGCCAACAGAAGACGGTTCGTGTGTACTTCAGTGTTGCTTAATCACTGGATTGTCTGGTCCAGACTCGCCTGTTTACAGACCGTGTCGTACAGCTGGAATACTGCTGAATGCGGCCTCAAACAAACACATACTCATGATATAGTCACAATTCTACTCTAGTTTCGGCAGAGATTTCTTACGAATACGGAGAGGGTTCTGTCGTCTCTATTTACGAGTCTTATCATGGATGCCTATTTCTAAAATGAACCAAAATATACTACAAGGCGTTAGAACGTATGATGATGGAAAATATTAAACAAACAAGAAATGTATTTTCGATGAAAATGTATTTAATACGGACTTCATAGTTGCCATTTGAACCTTGGGTTTGAAGTGTTTTGTGTCTAGTAACACATTCTTAACGCAACTTAGTCTATATTTTATAGGGGCGGTGGAGTAGCCTGATGGTTAAAGCGTTCGCTCGTCACGCCGAAGACCCGAGCACGATTCCCCACATGTGTACAAAGTGTGAAGCCCATTTCTGATGTCCCCCGTCGTGATATTGCTGGAATATTTCTAAAGGCGGCGTAAAACCATACTCACTCACTTTATCTTATACGGGACAGCAACGCGTGAGGAAACATAGGGACTGTTCATAATTTATGGCTAGGGGCAGTGATGATGATTTTTATGGAGAAGCATGTACAATGTGAATGACCCCCACTAAAATGTATGTACAAAGTACCCCCTCTGCATGTCATGAACAAATTCAATGACCACCTCTCCCCCTTCCCCTTTACGAATAACTTTTAAATATCTCTATGTACAAAATTGTTGGAACACCCCCCACTCCTGTCCCCCACCCCGTACATGCACGTGCACAAAAAAGCTGACCCCCTACCATCCCAGAACAATATGGGTGACACCAAGGTCGAGTGGTATACAGTAGGCCGGATGGCGTCACTGATGACCGTTGTATTATGTGTTATGTGTTATCATGAGAATGGAAAAATATATATGTCGTTTTGATTCTAAAACGGAGCTGCTTCAGGGTGTGAGTAAACCACCGATACCATTCATTGTATAACCCGGTGTTTCGAGAAGTAGCTCCATTGTATCTCACTTTCGTTGGTGACGTTTCGAAACAACCATTTGTAGAATACATGTTATCTGACACACACTTGTTTAGCAATCTTTAAGTATAAATAAAGTGTGTAAAATATGTAACCATTCGGACTTAACCATATCTATAAAACAGTTTAATAAATGTTTTCAGATATTACGATGACGATTGTGTACATCTCAATTGCTCCCATTGTCTTACTGCTTGTTGCGGCTATTGTGGCAGTGGTAGTCTACCGAAGCTCAAGGTAAGTAATGATCAGTCAAGACTGTACACTGATTTCTACTAGTTATTGCATCTAAAACTACAATAGTGGAACGGCTAAACAGACAAATTGTGCATTTAATGATAAAGCATAAAACTTTGCACATTTATTGACTGATGCATAATGAACATTTTCAGATATGGAGGCACTCAGAATTATTTCATTTTGCGCATGCGCAGAAGGTTTGTTTGTTGTTAACAAACAGCAATATTCCTGCTTCCTCCTGTTATATGGAAGCGGTCTGTAAATATTCGACTCTGGGCCAGACAATCAAGTGATCGACAGCATGAACATGGAACTACACAGTTGGGGTATGATGGCATATGTCAACCAAGTCAGCGAGCCTGACCACCCGATCCTGTTGTCTTACCCGAATCTTCATGGGTCTATAATTTGACACCAGCCTCACACACCCTCGAGTTACTCAAACGAGCCTTCACACATATACCCATGGCAACCCTAAAGTAGAATGGTACACTCAACATACGGGAAACGTGCTGTATTCGCTGTAAGAGGATGTGCATTGATGTGCAGTGCTTGAAGAATGTCAGCGAGAATGATCACCCGATATCATTTAGTCGCCTCTTACAAGTATGGATTCCAGAAGACCAATTCAAACTCGCATATTCACGGGCGTTTGGGGAGAGAGTAAATACTACTTTGCCTTAGCTCGCTACTGATTTAGCTTTGGAAAGGCCATCAATGCATTACAGGGAAATTTTAACCAAAATAGTAATTACTCACATATTCTGGTTGAATGTCCAGAGAGTCCAGTGCATTTAAGTGAGGACTGTTTGCACTTGCATGTGTTGTTACACCCCTTTCTGCAGTCTCAAGAGACCACCTCCTGACACGACGTTGATGCGTGGTGAAGTGTCCTCCATTAGGGAACATATTTAGCACTTTCCTGCTGTATCCAGACTTAAGGCTGTGGAAGAAGTGACTTACCCCATGTATGTCCTGCCTGGTAAGCTGTTTTTAACATGCTGTACAAGAGCTGCATGCGTCGGTGGGATGGCATGTATTGAGCGTTACTGCAAAGACTACAACATCTGCAGCTACAGTTCGCAACATAATCGTTTCATGGCCATGTTTTGCAGTATTGTCAACATGAAATATGATAAATATTTTAATTATGGGTTTCTTGGTGACTGCAAAGGACAAATGAAGTCATATATTCATCAAATATTTTGACAGTACCAAGTTTCACCTTTAGAACAGTGACGTTGGCTCTTCTGATATTACTGTAACATATACTTCTATATGTGCCAACAGGCCACGTTTTTGTACGAGTGAGAAAGCATCAATTTTCCAATAGGGATGGTGTCTGCTTTTCATGCTGATCAGAATCCTCTAAATTTCCCCACATGACTGTCGCCTAGTGTACACTCTGATAAGAGTTCACTCTTCCAGTTCTTCTTTACCCCTTTTACGGCCTTTTTAATCAATCAAAGTTAAAATAATAGGTACAAGACACATACTCGGCTTTGTTCTGGCCACAAACTTTATCTTGTAAAGGTCTCAAACTGCCCTTTCCTTACGGGTCCCATTTTCCCATGATGCGATGGTCCCGAGCAAAGTGGTGTATACATTTCAAAACAGTAGTATGTGCGCTTCAATTTCCGGAAATGATTTAAAAGACGACAGTACTTGACAAGACAAGACGCAGAGGTTCTGAAAATACATGATCTCAAGCTATTGGCTTGCATGATGCAGGGATGTCCTGTCGTAACATTGGTGCTTTAACCACATGGCTGTTAGTCCATGTGCGAAGAATCTTGTGGCCTACGAGGAACCATGTGGCTACCGGTGAAGTAAAGTGTCCTGGCGGACTGGGGAACATCAATGACCATGATGAACGGGTGTAAATTCGTCTTGCAAGACATCAGTATGATAAACCACGCCGAAGAACTCAAATTGGGAGTGGGAGTCTCTCACACAATTCATCATTACCATCGTCCGCCTGGTGTAGTGCAAACTCCAAGAACTGCAACTTGAGGAAATGGCGTAGGGTTCATTGGTCTCATGAACGTCGCTTTCTTCTACACGTTGCCCACGGCCGTTGTCACTATACTGCCGTCGTATCATCAGGAGATGATCTATGCAACTGAACCCATCAGTGATGGTGTGGGGTTGCGTTTCGTATGGCTGCCAGTTGGATCTCATTATAGTACCTGGGAAACACAACGTTTTTGACTGGAAGTACTGATACTGCCATGGGGACACATTTTGTTAGCTTTGCCAATCGTCAGATATTCATGGATGACAACGCTAGGCCGTCTCGTGCCGTCATCACCCTTTTTAGAGAGCAATTCCATCGAAACATTACCATGGCCCGCAAGGAGCCGTGATATAAACCTCATTGAACATATTTCGGACTATGTTAGATGCCAAGTTCGTTTGATCTTATCCTGTTGAAAGTGAAGAATTCAGGCATACACTGTATCGGGAATGACAGAGGAATCAGATGCTAATAATACAATGCTTGATTGGCAGTATGAGGAGGAGACTGGCAGATATTATAAGTCCGAGGGATGCTACACCTGATACTAATGTGGTCGCCTGTGGTGGTGCATAGTAACTTCATACAATCAGAACAACCATTGTCTGAAAACTGTGCAATTTCTTGGGTAGTCGTGGTGACCATACGTTCCAGCATTGTTGATGTTCACGTTTTTGCGTATTCTTCTCAGATTGCAGTAATGTGTTACCATGTTTCAATCTCAGTTTTGTTTTTGTTGAAATCAAAGTAAAATGTGTTACATGCAGTTACGATGTTAATTTGTCGGTAAGTTTGGTTTTCAAAGCATATGCACCAACATGTGTCTTGGTACTCATATTAATAAAGTGGGTTATTGCACGATTAGTGCTCATGGATATATTTCATTATGGCCTTGAACATGAACTCCAAATTCAGTATCGTAACTTGTCATTTGTAGTATAACTGCCACGGGGTCTGTAAGCGACGACGATAATTGTGTCACCATGAGTTATCAATTTCTAATAAAATATTTTATGAACATAAACATAGTGTATCATCATCAACCATCTTGAAAACCCAAACACCACAACTTAATGATGCTGAATCTGGATTATCTGCCACACTTGTACTTGAGTCTAATAACTTTATTGTTAAACATGTCCAAAAACTTATGAATTATTGTCCTGGAGTTCTTTTGCCAAATAGTTCGTGTATTTTGAGTCACTATTCATCAGATGAAACCATAACATACTTGTCTTTTGTCATGGAGCTCCATATTCGAAAAGGTGTCTGCTACCTGCCATTTTGGATGGAAGGAGCATTTATATTTTGGGGAAATGTTTATTTAATTTAATGAACTATTTCTCTTCTATTCCTATACCTGTAAACAATTAATTCTGAAATTATTGGTATGCAATGACTGCGTATGCTGACTATGTAAGACGAAACATTGAAAGCAGTACGGCATTTCTTGTCTCCTGCACATGCGCACACGGACATTAAAATATGTGCCTCCATATCTGAAATCATTTCAGAAATGTCCTTGAAAATGATGACCAACTTTTGTGATTTTATCATTGAAGGCACATTTTTAATGGAAACTTGATCTCAGACGCTTCACTAAGATATGTTTCTGAGGCAAGGGGTGTCCAAAGTCCAATGACTAATTTAGGTTACATTGAACCCCTTTTATATGTAAGTGAGTGAGTTTAGTTTTACGCCTCACTCAGCTGTATGGCGGCGGTCTGTAAATAATCAGACAATCCAGTGATCAACAGCATGAGCATCGATTCGCAATTGGAAAACTGATGACATGTGTCAACCAAGTCAGCGAGCCTGACCACCCGATCCCGTTAGTCGCCTCTTACGACAAGCATGGGTTACTGAAGATCAATATTCTAACTCGGACCATCATGGGTTTTTTATATGGTAGGAAAAAATTGGATCTTTGTCCCATTTCCGATGACACATCTCTGCATGTATTGAGAGTACTACCCAGGTCTGATCTATAAGGAGTTACTTTTAGACAGTCAAAACATTGAGTTTTTTTCATAACTGTATATGTTTCTTCCGTTTGTATCATGGTTTTGATTTTTAGGGATACATTTGTATGCACACCCACAAGAGCTTTCCATATATCTATAAGACATATTATGATTTCCAAAATGGGCCAATCCATATAGCATTATAACTTTGAACCGAGTTTGGACGTACAGGATATGTGATTTCTCTTCAACTTTCGCCACAGGTGATGTAACTATCAAATAGGTTACTGACGAGGCAATTGTTGGGTTGGGGTCACTTTTAATTTATTTTCTGGACATTGCAATGCTTTTGTGGCAACACAAGGGAGAGTACTCAGAACAGGATAAATAGGACATACACTGCAATCATTTTCAAACTCTTTGATTTGCAATGTAACCTCGTTATGTCGATGTTATTGAGACCATTACCTTGGCCGTGCGTGTATTTACAATTCCCATGGCGTGGTAAATAACGTCAATTTTCACCTCGTTACGTCGTTATTGAGACAATTACCTTGGCCGTGCGTGTATTTACAATTCCCTTGGTGTGGTGAATAGCGTCAGATCGGTCTATCCCCATGTACACAACTGTGTTCGACTGTATATCGAGTTATCCACAGCTCGAGTTCTCATAGTTACTCTTCGGTTGTCGTGATACTGCCATGGCTTAACACAGCATACCAGGAAAGAGTGTATGAGTACGTTTTCAAAACTTAACCGGCCAGGGCGCCATTGTTCAAAGCAACCTTAGCGCTACGCCAGTCGTAAGTCTGCGTTAAGGTATGGGAGTTACGATCCCCTTAGCGCTAAGGTTGCTTTGGACAACGGCACACAGGAGAACACACAAAGTGTTCTAGTACTCATCATATTATACTAGCCCTTCCTTATGGTAACGCCCTACATACTTGGGTTGACCTAAATGTATTTTGCGAGTTTGTGGTGGTTCTTAGACTTTGACACGCATCGCTATTGACAGACGTACATGCGTATCCGACAAAATCGGCGTACAGCAAAAGCCCGATTTACTCCTTCGCGTTTCGGATAAACTGTGACATGACAACAAAATGACAACAATCTTTGACATTAACCGACGCATTAACTGACTTAAAGTTGGTAATTCGAAGAAATATATATGTATTGACAAGCATTTTCAACTGGAGAGCTGGGTCAGCTTCACGGAAGTGTTACTATCCCTTATCAAAAGTCACCGGCGTTTGACTGGGTGAACCACAGGGGCCACACTGACCCTCGCATTAGCACTACCCTCTGTTTTGAACAGGCGGCTTCCCGTAGCCGATTGCGCACTGTCAGGTCGGACACAATTTCATGATGCACGCGCATTTCATGTAGGGTGCGTTTTAGCGATTCATTACAAACGTGAGTGTAACGTTACGTTTTTGTACAAAGTTTCTTTTTTTAAACGTTTTGTCGTTGGCAACGTACCATTCCTCCATATGTTGTGATTCAGCGATGCACTGGTTTGTGTCAAATATTGTCCTAAAATTGAGATTGTTCCTATGTCAAGTTTCCTTTTTTAAGAGTATACTTTTAAACAAGACCGATAACTCTATTCATTTTTTTATTCCAATGGTACTTAATATCACTGAAGCACTCGTATATTGCATTTGCTGTGTTTGTTTTTTGGTTTTAATAAATATCTTAAAGAATTAAACGTCTTTGATTATAACAATAAAAGGAGAGAAAACACATTTGTTAAACATATTCTCACGTACTTATTACACGAATGTTCACTTTGAGAAATACTTTAAGGTCATTTTGGAGTATCTGCTTTCGGACTTATTGTAGCTGAAAAAATGATTATTTATTTGCATATTCAATTAAACAAATCCCATTTGTGGTTCTTAAACCCTATTTAGAAACATAGATTTGTAAATATAAGGTGAACAGCTGGTAATAATTACTCGAGAACATGTGTTTAACAAATATTTCTTTTCTCCTTCTTTTAGTTATTACAAATATGTAGTAATATTCAAGGTCCTAAAAGCTTGTGACACCTTCGTTAAAGTCCCTTGTAACATCATTGTTACTGTTATTCTTGCAAGAATCTTGAAATGTGTCCTCTTACCCCAAATTTAGCGAGTGGGTGAATTAGTTTTATGCCGTTTTAGCAATATTTAATTTCTGCAGCAGATTTAAAATCTCGTGATTCCACGTTTCTACACTGAGCGAAAGTATACAAATCTGTGCGGTTGTACTACTGCTGTAATGACCATTTTTCCAGGCATTCTTCTAGGCGGATTTCAGTGTACGTAAATGAAGATGTTAGATGTTTCTATGATTTTCTGCACAAAACAAATATTATTGACATTTTTTATTTACATTATATTATTTTATCCTTCAGGTCAAAAACCCTGACCATGAGAACAGCAATTCCATCTTACAAAACAACAACAACAACCAAACTGATCCAGATGTTGATGATTATTGTTATATTCGCGACGAAGTGTATGATGTGTTGGATGAATCAAAGATGAACAACGATGAACATGTGTTCCCAAACAGTACCAATGATGACCTAAGACAACCTGTGCCCTCCGTTACCATAAACGACTACCATCCTACATCAGACCAACACGGGCATCAGGATGTACCTACTGTATTGTATAGAGCGGTCGGTTCTTCTGGACGAACTGAAATCGGCAATGATATCACTGGATCTTATATGACGCTGAAAACAAGAGACGAGGACGCTGTATCAGAAGGTGATAACTATATTGTAACTATCCCTGGTCCAAATGAGATAGGAGGGAGTGACGTAACAGCTATGGAGGATGAGGCAAATGTTTCTGGGAAAGAAGGTGGTGCTTCAGAAGCATCTCATGGTGATGTCGATGTCACTGAAGGAGGACTGAAACTGCCCCAACCTCATTGCGGGCCAACGTCGTCTTATATCTCCCCCGTTTTTGAAAATGACTGATACGTGTTGGCCAAAAGCCACTTGGAGGAATGCTTTAGTTACAATATGGCCTATCAGCATAGTGACAGATGGCAGATCGTTTCGAAAGTGACCTTTACCTTTTTAGCAGCGAACCGAAATGATGTCAAGACGAACCTGCACAACCAGCGGATCCTTGGCGGACAAAGGGACTCAACTTTTTGCAAATTGTATAATATTGGAAGCACGCAGCTGTCCATTTCAAATAGTATTGAAAGCTTTTATTATTCTTTGAGGCCTTGCCATAGAACACTACCCCTTTATTATATTGGCTATTGATATACTAGTTATTTTCCTCAGGCATCTTTCATATTAATATGCTTATGATGTTCTGGACAGCAAGCAATAAAACATCTGTGATACATAGAGTGAGTGGAGTGTGGCGTAAAAATAAACTCACTTGCTCACTTATAGAGTGAGTGAGTGAGTTCGGGTTATCGCGGCTTGTCACCCGCGTGAGGAAAGCCTAGGGTGATACAGGCCATACGTTTACCACTTTGATGAAACCCACAAACAAGAGTATGGCGTTGACGTGATACAGAAACCACAAGCATTCTGGATTTTGTTACTTCTATATTTCAAATCAATTGCTTTACCTGTTCGTATTGTAGATTTCAAGTTTTCAAAATATTGGAATGTAGTTAAGATTCAGTAAAAAGTATTAAGCATTTGGACAAGTGTGTTTTCTATACTTTGTTATAATACACACTACGTGTATGTATGCATGCATTATTATTATTATATTATGCTAACATTTGTATAGCACCAATATCCAACTCAGCTGCTCAAAGGCGCTTTGACTTTTCCTCGATCATTTGATGTCCAACTCAAAAGGCATATCGTATTATCAGTCTCAACTTCCTAGGGAGTATACAACTCTTGTAGCCACTAGGCGCACCGAGTTAATGTGGCGTTCCCATCCTTACGAGGTACCCATTCACAGCTGGGTGGACTGGGACACATAGTCACAGTACTTGTCCAAGTTTACTGCACGTTGCTGTACCCGCAACTAGGTGTTTGCACGTGTTCATGTAGCCACCATCTGGTCATTTACCAACGGATTCGTTGGTTCTTTTAAGTGCACAGGGTTGTGTACTGTACACTAGGGGTTGTGACAACACTGAAAGATTCTGCACACAAAGTTGACTCCTAGATAATTTACACCCGGTCACAGGATGGATCGATCCGGCAACTCAAGCTCGCTGGATCACTAGCTCAGCCCCTTAGACAGCTCGCCCACCACATTGATTGATTGTTGTTTAACACCGCATCAACATATATTATAACAAGTTGTCGATTTATGCCGTCAAGGACGATTACACACATTTCAACCACCCGATCACCATTTTAGTCTGCCCATACGACAAGGACAGTTCATTGTAAATGTGTATTGGACCTGTATATGAACAGTTAAAAAACTAAACTCAGAGTAACTTTTTATTTTACAAGTGTATATGACTGGAGGTGGGGGTGATCAGTAAGGGAACTTGTGGGGCCATAAATATATTCCTCCAGACTTCTTGCCCGCCGCTGTGGAAATCGATGCCCTGAATACACTCTTATCCTTCACGCTAATATATGTATCACCAGGTCAGCTTGATCTTTCTTATCTATTTATGCTAAAAATGCATGTTTTCGAAGCAAAGCGACTTGATCTACATCATACTTTTATTCAAAGACTATTACCAAGTTGTGTAAGTTTTCAAATTTCATAAAGTAAACCGGCAACAACTAAACACTTTGGTGACAAGAAAACCCATTTCTGTAATCATTATAAATCACTTCTTTTGATTCATTTTCACAAATTGTCCTAAACATCTGAACCATGCATGTGCTTACATCCGGCACAAACTGTACACGTCATAAACATACTTTGGCTTAAACCCGCTACGAAATAAATAGGCCATAAACATACTTTGGGTTGAAACCGCAACGAAATATACACATCATAACCATACCTTGTGTTGAACCAGCCACGAAATGTACACGCCATAAACATACCTTGGGTTGAACCAGCCACGAAATATACACGCTATTAACATATATCGGGTTGAACCTGCCACGACATGTACACGCCATAAACATATATTGGCTTAAACCAGCCACGAAATGTACACGTCATAACCATACCTTGGGTTGAACCCGCCACAAAATGTACACGTCATAAACATATATTGGGTTGAACCTGCCACGAAATTAGACGCTATTAACATATATTGGGTTGAACCTGCCACGACATGTACACGTCATAAACATATATTGGCTTAAACCGCCACGAAATGTACACGCCGTAATCATATATTAGCTTAAACCAGCCACGAAATATACGCGTCATAACCATACCTTGGGTTGAACCCGCCACAAAATGTACACGTCATAACTATACCTTGGGTTGAACCAGCCAGGAAATGTACACGTCATAAACATACCTTTGGTTGAACCAGCCACGAAATGTACACGTCATAACTATACCTTGGGTTGAACCAGCCACGAAATGTACACGCCATAAACATACCTTGGGTTGAACTACCCACAAAATGTACACGTCATAAACATACCTTGGGTTGAACCAGCCACGAAATGTACACGCCACAGATCATCACCATGGTATTTGTTATGGTTTTATTAGGCAACAGCTTTTGGAAAGTTTGGTTTGACAACGAAAGGTCATGCGACGTCCAGTGACTAGGTGGGGAAGTGTAGCATTCCTTTAATGAGGGTAGGTTATACATAGGAGGATACTGTAGAGGGATCTAGAGGGTTCTGTAGACTTCAGGGGCGGTGGGGTAGACTAGTGGTTAAAGCTTTCGTTCTTCACGCCGAAGGCCCGGGTTCGATTCCCAATATGGATACAATGTGTGAAGCCCGCCGTGATGTTGCTGCACTAAAAAAGCGGCATAAAACCCATCTCACTCACATGTAGACTTTAGCGCGGGGCTGTGTATAAAGCTGGCGTGGCGTTATGGTATCGCAGTTACACTATGGTGTTGGTATAAGAATCAAACACTTACCACATTTCTTACAATCGCCAGCAGCTGAAGGGATGGTGTAAACCCAACTAGGGTGCATGCAGGTAGCAAAGCTACTATAAGTCATCATGGTCCCTAGTATGGTGATCTACCTTCAGTTGTTGGCGATCTATAGCCTGTTTATATATTGTCTTGTCATTCATAGTTAACGTATTTTAGATTTAATTACTAGTTTTAAATGTATTTCTGTGATAATCTAGTTGTTCTACTGTGCTTTGCAGACAGGTAAGTATATTTGCTAACTTTCTTTATATTCATTTATGTACAACTTTCTTAGTCACGATATAGCTGAAATACTGCCGATGTGACTAAAATTTTAACTCACTCACTCACTCACACAAACACCTACCTGGTTGTTGTGTGGACCCAGCACAAAGCAATTCTTGACAGATACTGATCAACTGAAATAACGATACCTGTTTAGAATTGCAGGTTTTGTCAGTACAATATGTAACAGATGTTGACATTATTCATTTATACATATTGACTTCATCCAGACTGATGAATACGTCCAGGCAGGATCAAGACATTGGACAAAGAAAACTCACACACTCACTCACTCCAGTGTGTGCTGTCAAATCAATATAGACAAGTACAGAAATGTCCATAACGAGAAAGATACATAGCCACCATGTCAGTACCATGTATCGAAATTACAGCATTCATCAATCATTTAATACCTGTTTCATAACTGCGTTCAAATGTCCCAGCTGGTTTGAGCAAAATATTGATCTCATTGGTGAAACATCCAGACCACTCAACATACGCATCAAAGAACACAAGACATCCACAAACAAAGCAGACACCAAATCAGCCATTTCGGAACACATCACCAAATTTCCTCAACACAACATCAACTGGGACACTGTCAAAACACTTACAAACAACAAACATGATTACACTCAGCGGAAATTGGCCGAAGCATTACAAATACGCCGTTTTAATCCCTCTATTAACAGAGATCAAGGCTATTACATCCCCTCAGCTTACAACCACCTAATCCACAAATAATCCACAGATATCTTATTGCATGTGTGGAATGGCATGGGCATTGCCAGAATGTTAACTGACACTGTCACAGACCCCTCAAAAACAGAAAGTTTAGAACTATCACAAAGCGTTGTAAACACCTTTCCAGTTCTGTCAAATACTAAGATCAACAGGAAAGAAAGAAGTTTTAGAACTATATCACTCAAGCATCACAAGCATAAATGGCGTATCAGAACAGATCGGCGATATGTCATATTTTTCACACACCTCAAATACACCCTAACAAAAAAAAATTAAATTATAAAACTATTACTATTACTTGCAAACACCTTTCACCTGATGGTATATTCCCCTCATAAAAATAAAGGTGTATGTGAAAGATGTTTTAGAACAATAACTAGAAACACTCAAACAACGCCCTACAGGTAGTATTTCAATGGCAGATCGGCGATATGTCATATTTTTCACACACCTCAAATACACCCTAACAAAATTTTTAGTTATAAAACTATCACTATTACTTGCAAACACCTTTCAACTAAAGGTTTATTTCCCTTCTAAAAATTAAACGAATATGTGAAAGAAGTTTTTAGCGATAGAATTTAGTCTTTCTTCGCTGTGTACTGAGAATTGAAGCCAGTGAGCTACAACATGCCGACTTGAAACTTTACTACAAATCTACTGTACTAATACTCATACTAATAACAATTATTTGACTTAAAATGAAGTGACAAAATGGGTAACTTATCTTCTACACGTAGGTTTTCAGTTGTCACAACACTCAGCGTATGTAATCAGCTGTTGAAAATAAACCGGGCTCAATCTAAAAACTACGCCGCCGCCATATTGGCTACACTGGTCACGTGACGAGCCGAGGCATACGCTAAGGGGCTTTCCGAGGAGTGACCACTCCCCCTAATATAGTCTCCCTGCTCTTACATAAGAGCGTGAATGGCATAATTATCCATGCAGATACATTGTACAATTGAACAATAATAATTATAGGTTGACAATATGATAATGCAAAAGTTGATAGGGTTAACTCCCTTGCAGTTTGGTACAAATTCTGAGAAAGAGCATATCAAGTCATAGCAAATTGTATATGTATATAGTGATGAATGAGCACAATAATTTGTAATGGTTATAAGTCAAACAATTAAATCATAGTTGTAGGTAGACAAGATGTTATGCGGAATATGATTGAGTGGTCTCGCTTGCATCAGGTATTGAGGAACTTCTGTCTCACAGCTGAGGCCTTGAATATGTATTCTGCTAATAGTGACCGATTCTCGCACTTCATGATGTGGATACATTTCTTTTCGTTGGAGAGATAATGGAGAATATTCAACAGTTGGGATCGAAGATCATGATATTGAGAGCAAGTAATAAGAAAATGAATTTCGTCCTCAAGTACACAACTTTTGGACATAGACAAACAGTATTTACACACTCTCTCATCTCTAATAATTCCTAACCATCTCCCTGTTTCAATAGCAAGATCATGATTTGTACATCTAAATCTGGTTAGAGCTATTCTATATCTGTCTATTTGCACCACATTAAAATATGACTCCATTTCAAGTGAAGATTTATACTGGCAATAAAGAGATAACTTGTTGCTTTCCTTGATGTTTACTGACCAATTTTGTCT